CTATTTTGTTGAGATGCTTCCACACTAGTATCAGATGACTCATCAACACGCATGGCATCCCTAGTTGAAGGCAACTGGATTCTTCGTGGAACCAGGGAGGTAACAACCGCCGGGACCCTTGTTGCATTTGGATTAGAAGTTTCAGGGCTACTCCTTGACCTACTGTTAGATGAACTATAGGATCAGAAGGGGGAGAAATGCCTGACATCTTGACCCAAACTCGGCTGAACTTTTGCGCTCAACTGCAACGACGTCTGATCCGACGCGAGCTTTGCTCAGCGTCCCAAGCAAAAGTTTGCAGTGATGGGACAAAAGACCAATGCAGCACAATACTACCTCAACCAACAGTGTCTTCGCAAGTTGGATATTAAGATAATAAAGTGCAATTGAAACTAATTCAGGTTGTGTTGAAGTTCGGATGAACTATGGCTTCGCTAGCGGTAATGACCCTAGCTCTGACCACAGAAGCAACACAGAACTAAAAACAAAAGGCAAAATGCTATGGGACAAAAGACACTCAGCAAACGACAGGGACAGACCGACGGAGTGTAGCGAGCAAGCTCAGCTACCTCGGCGTTTCGGATGCACCTATCGGATGTTGTAGAACCGCTGGACTTGTGCCAGGATCTACCAAAGTGTTCGATCGTCCTGGCCCCCGAAATTCGGGTAAAATTGGTTCGCCCTAAGCGGCACTGGACGGCGGGCGTGCAGGATGTAACTGATGCCCTCGTGCCGGAGCCAGTCCTCTATTTCTGCGATCCAACAGAGCTCCCTATCGGCACGCCCTTCTGATCGGATGGTTTTAATGCCAAGCTGCTTGCACTCGTTTATAATGTCGGACCGGTCGTCCACGAGACAGTGTGCCTGGAGTGCAGAGATGATAGCCTGCCGCAGGGATAGCGGGCAAGGTGCAACTCTCTAAATGGCAAACCTTCTGCGACCAATTGGCCAATCACGTGTTCAGCACCAGCTCTAGTGCTTTCTATCTTAGATTGGCCGGCGTATGAAACGATATGGAACTCAATTTGATTACCAGCAATCCTAGTCAATGTACGAAGCTTTTCAACTAGATGGGAAGACAATTCACCAATGGGGTTGAGAGCTTGGTCAATGGTATCGTGCCAGTCAATGCAAACAACTACGTTGGATGAACTAACGTGGACTACCTTAGAGACTAAATTGGGTTGCTGTTGGTAATGTCGCGGCACAGTGCCAGCGACCCCCTCTGGCCGATCTGGGTTTGGTTCAGGCAAAGGCCGCCCACGGACGTGGGGTGCAAGGCCAGAGCCTGAGCTTTGATCTTCTTGCTGTTGTTGCTGTCCTTCGGGATCAAGCGGAGGCAGGTCTCGGGACGATTGGCCAGCAGGTCTTGCCTTCTCGATTCCTGGCGGAGGAGGTTTTACGGGCTTAAGATTAGCTGGATTAGGGGGAACTGGCCTATTAGGTCTTGGGGGAAATACCACAGGTGCAGCAGGTGCTACAGGTGCAGCAGATGCCACAGGTGGATGTTTCCACGGCAGATTCTTCTTAGGCTCTGGAGCTGGCGGTAGAGGTTCTGGCCTTTGAGGCGTGTCGGGGACAGCAGCCCCCTTTGCACGTCTTGGCACTGGAACGGAACTAGCTCTTTTGCGAGACTTAGATGAAATCTTATTTGAAATTGGTACTTCCCTTCCCCTGTTGGTTCTGGCAGCAACTGCAGGCGCAGTCTCGGCTGAGGGTGCTCTTGATCTGGATCGCGCAAATGGAGAGCCGGCTGGCTCTGATGCAGTCTCTGTCGCGACACGGGCTGTGTCAGCGACCCCACTTCCAGCACTTTGCAAGGACTGCCTCCAGGGAGGATAAGCTGAACTACTAGAACTGCTTAATGGGGGAACAGTCAAAGATGGTACTGTAGGGGCTGCAGGTGGTGTTGGTGCAGCAGAAACTAAATCTTTTCGGGGCTGTGCCGGCTTATCACGTTGGATTTGAGAGGTTCTTATGTTAGGGCGTTCTCTTTGGTGGAGACTCAATTGGACGGGCAGGGGTGCGCTCAGCGAAGCCAGCGTCGAAGGGTTCTTGCTGGCCGACAAATGCCTCAGCTGATGATACAAACCTGGCGGTTCGAGTCTCAGCAGTTTCAGAGCCCTCAGATTCGGTCTCGGGGTTATTGGTGGCAATGTTATAGACACTATTGGGGTCTAAATTACTTGAACCAAGAACTGTCCGATGGGATCTAAGTGCAGGATCTCGCCACAACGAGTCGGGAAGCTCGTGCGGGTTGACCCTAAGCTCTGGAGCCTCAGCGTGAGGGATGATAAAAGGCAAAGTCTGTGGCGCGTACGCGATCGGAGGATCAGCGACCCTAGCCCAGGTGCCAGCGGAGTCAATTCTAATTTCGGGGTAACCGTGCACTTGGGGTCTTAAAGCAAGAGGTCTTCTAGAAACGCCGGTTATGGCTCGGGCTCTATAAAGTTCTTGATTAAGTTCAATTCGTTCACGGGTTTCCCTTGGGACTAGATTGACAGGCAATGGCGGATTGGACCTAATTCTTTTAGGCCTACGACGGCGCGTGGAAACCTCACGGCCGTGCTCTGTTGTTGTGAAGTCAGGGAATTCGGGTTCAGCTTCGGCCTCAACCTCAACCTCAACTACTTCGTCCTCCTCTAAAACTTCCTCTTCCTCTGCCTCTTCCGCAACCCACTCCTGCTCCTCTTGCGGTGGATCGTTGGGATCCGCTGGAGCAACCTCTTCTCGCGCCTCTGCACGTTGGGAACTGCGGGCAGCGAGCTCCTGTGCAGTTGGCGGTGGATGAGATGGTGGGGGTGGAAAATTATCACCAGGTGGTGGTGTATTAGGAGGCGGCAATGGTGGTAAAGGTGGTTGTTTATGAGGAGGCGGTGATGGTATTAGGTGGAGGTGGCAAACCACGAACTCTATCTGCAAGGGTGGTGGAATAGAATGAGGAGCTTTGGGCCTAGCTTTAGGTGGTGGCCTAGCAGGGCTAGCTACTGGGACTGGTGCTACGTCGCGCCCAAAGGCAGCGACCCCTTGAGAATCTGACTTTGGGGCTTGTGGGACTGGATGGACAGAGACAGTAACCCTCGGACGCGGCGGTTGGACCGGATGGTTTGGTGCCCTCAATGAGGGTTGCCAATTGGGCGGTGGGTGCCCAGGCTCCTTGGGTTGCTTGGCAACCGGAGTTGTGTCTGCGCTACCACTTGCCGCGCCAGCAACGGATGTTGCGGCAGCTGGCCTAACCCCCTTTGGCCGGGGCTGCTGCTGTGGACCTATATATCTATAATATATATCCCACTCTTCTGCGCGTGGGTGCTCTGCCCCTAAGATTCGTTGGTTAATGACCCTTTTTTGGAGGTAATTCACCAGAATCAATCACTTGCTGTGCGTGGACAATACCTCTACACCTGTCCAACCCGTGGATGTGAGCCCACTCTTTGTAGGGGATAAGGATATTGTAGGCTAAAGCCAAACACTGTGATGTTGGGAGTTCCTCAATAAGTCTTGAATGAAGAGCTATCAACCAGCGAAGGCTTTCGTCGGCGTGTTCGTAAGATATTTTTCTTAACCAAAAGCCACCTGCAATATCACCCCCGGAATTCAAATAAAGCCAATTTTGGTATGCCTCGAAGTCGTTCCACCAAGCTCGCTTTGCTTCTTGCCACCTGGTTGTGGCACCACCCCTACTTGATCTAACCCTTTGCCTTGGGGGATTAGATGAAGTTGCAGGGGAATGACCTACCTGGATAGGATCGGTGCCGGGTTCAACAAGATTAGGGCTAGTTGGTGGTGGGACTATATCACCGGGACAAGTGGTATTGGCTTCTGTCGCGACACCGGATGTGTCAGCGACCACGGGCTCAGGCACGGATGCAGATGGTTCGGATGCAACGGATGCTTCTCCTACTGGACCCGCCTCGTCACCTAAACCCAAAAGATCAGCAGTCTCAACCTGTTGTTCGTCTTCTTCAGCTGGGTCTGCAAAATCTGTTGTGTCAACTTCGCACTCGGTCTGTTCCAGAAGAGTTGAAGAATCTTGTTGAGGATCTACTTCTTCTTCTTCTTTTGCACGATCAATGTCCGTGAAAGCTGCTTCTGCTGGGTTACCCAAATCAGATGGCGGTTCCAAAAATGACTGATCTTGCAATGAAGTTTCAACCTCGATATCTTCTGTCGCGACGGGTTCGTCAACGACCTCTTCCGGCAAACCAATTGCTGAAATTACTGCACTGATGCTCTCGGCCTCGTGGATCTCCTCCTTCACCTCTACCAGTGATCCCTGTGGATCTGCAGAGTCTGTCACAATGGAGTCAACACCAGAAGGCACGGGTGCTTGTACCTCAGACAGATCCGCCCAGGAGGCAGAGGCCTTAGCTATCGATCCGGCAGGCAACGGAGCTGATTGCTCAACGTCTTCTGCGGCAGATGCGACCGCCTCGGCTCCACCCGCTGGCGTCTCAGTCGCGACGGAATCGTCAGCGACCTCTTCGGATCCCTCTGAGGGCATGCACGAAGAACAGTGAAAGTGCGAAAAATAAAGTTAGGGCCTATGGCAAGTTTTACCGGATTAGGTTCCCCAACACAAGCCTTACGGCTGATAACCAGTCAAACAGGGGGACGAACCAGGCACCCACAAAAAGGAGAAAACCCGATCCGGTAAACCCTGCATGAAATACAACAGCAAGCACACTTTTGTGCACTTGAGCCACAGCATCGCAAGCAGCAACCCTAAGACCCGGTTGTTGTTGGGTTAAGGGGCTCTTACTCTAACTATGACTATCTACATACCTAACGCATCTAGGTATGTGGTGCTACTACTGTACACAAGGTATTCGGAGTAACTACTTAGGATGTTATGGAATCATAGCTACGGCATGCCAATACTAGACCTACTACCTATGCTATACATAGTGGGGCTCAGGGGTCGATATATTTCAACTACCCTAGGCCCAAGTGGTGTCAGTTTGCCCAGTTACCAGTCGGGATAACCCGCGGATCCGAGGTGCGTTTGTGGGTGATGTGGAATTCCGGCAGATTGATGTGAAGTTGCTGTTCCATCTTTATGGTCAAATTACCTCAGAAACCAAGGGCGGCTCTGACTACCCTCTGGTAAACTAACATAACTATGGAAAATCACCATTTTTCATGTGAAAACTCACTATAAATGGCCATTTTCAATAGCTATGTTAGTTTACCAGAGGGTAGTGACTACGGCACGAATGGCGGCTTGATTTGTGCCTGAAGTGTTTCACACCCAACTGATCACTCCCATGTGACAATCCTCCCAGCATGGCCATCCCATTCTCTCGAACATAGAGCATCCCCAACTTGATGTTGCTTTCTCACACAAATAAAAACCCAGTCGTTTATGCTAAACCATATTCATAGATACATATTATATATGTGTATATATATACATATATATATATATGTATATATATATACACATACATATATATATGCGCATATACATACCTGGAAGACGAGTTTGGACATGTTTTTTGTCCATTACGTTTTTTTTTTCGAAATACGGCCATGTCCGGCTGCAAACGCTCTACTTACAGGTCAATAGTTTTCCTCAAACCTTGGATTTGTCGGACTGGTTCCGACAGTATGCGTGTCTCGTCTAGAGACAGTATTTGGGTTTTGGGTCAGTATGTTGACATCTGCTTACTTTTTTTTCAACATGATGTTGAAAAAATAGAGTCCGGGTCTTTGTGGGAGTGCGCCTTTTGGTAAGTTTAATGTATTGAATAATAATGTAGAAAATGAGTCACTTCAAACATCTGCTTGTGTTTGTCTTACTTGTGAGGCGTACCAGTTACTAAAAGGATATATATATATATATATGCATATATAGGTATGTATTGTGTAATGTGTAAGAACTTTTGGCTTCAAGTCTTGTGTGTATACGGTACATATCCAAATTTGTACATCTGGCAAAAATAAACTACAAGGACCTGAAAGCAAACCCGTCAATCACCTGGGCTAATTCGGTTTGGTAGAAATATGCTGTAGCCATTTTTGCCATGAAAATCTATGAAATATTGCATGGAATCAATGAATATCAAAGAGAAATGGAATTCAATTTTGACCGCTTGCGCCACGCTCAACGATAGAGGGTGGTGTTTGCGCCACGTATGCTGCATGTCTTTATAGCAAAGCATGAACAAGAGGAAACAATACTTTTGATTGACAGGAGATTTCATTTTGTTTCCAAGCAGTACTGCATCTTCTTGACAGAGTTTCCTGCATCTTAAAGAGATATGGAATGTGTCATAAGGATAAACATGCTGTTCTCTTCAAAAAAAAACTGGTGCTTTTTAAATGTATTCTTTAACACAGTATCAACTCAGATTTTAAAGGCACAGAGAGGGCAACATTCATTAGTGTGAAGCAGAGCCCTGAGATGTGCACAGCATTCCTTGAGAAAGAGTGCACCATGCCTTCCATATATTTTGAAACAAATATGGTATGTCTTCCATAGAGATAGTGCTATTTCAGATAAGGGAAGCGTCTCTCTAAGATAAAATTTGAATACAGTATACACATTAGTTGTTCAAGAGTGTGGCATTCCTTTAACAAAGTACTTGATGATGTCATGAAATATATTGGCTTGAACAATGGTGTTAGGCAATCTTCCTTCGACAAAAGAAACAACATTCAAATGGAAAAATATAACATATTTTTAAGACAACATAATTCACTATATGATATTTGTTTGAAATATGTTAATAGTTTTTACATGTATATACAGTATTGCTTTCAAAAGTGTATGGCATTCCTTTGAGAAAGTAGCCTTCAGGACACACAGCAGTCCTTGTGAAAGAGTATGGCATTGTTTAAGTTCTTGTACTACTAGTTCAGGGAACCTTTTCAGATATATGTGTATAGCAATCCCTTGGAAAGAGGGTGATGTTTCTGTAAGAAAGTGCAGTATGACTCCATGGAATGGTCATTTTTTCACAAGAATCACAAAAAAAAATCCTTGCAGAAAGTCAAGTCAAGGTCAAGCACTATTTTGAAAAGCTATTCTGAACCATAAGCAGCACTTTACGAAACCATTGTTTTCCAATAGTGCGGCATGCTATGCAAGTTGCCGCAAGAAAAATTGATGATCCCTGCGAATCCGACCAAATTCGCAACAGCAGGAAATCACAGGGACAGAGAAAGAAAAAAACTGGAAAAAAAAAGGAATAGGGACTCTTGTCTAGACCCCCCCCCCTCTCCAAAGAGTCTAGAAATATTGTTTTTTTGTTTGGGGGGGTTCCACTGTTTTTTTTTTCTAGCTTTCCCAAGATTTTTGTTGATTGTTGGAGTGTCGCCTCCTTCCAAAGAAAATGGGAATAATTTTTGGGGCAACCCTCGAAAGAATATGGAAGTAAGAATTTGAGGCCTGAGTCGTGAATGCAGTAAAACCGCTTAAAATATTGTCTTAAGTCATGGGAAAACTGCACTCCCAGGAGGTACCGTTCTGAAAAAATACTAGTATTTTATGGGTATATCCAAATTTGGTGGAAATATGGCAGTATTTGTGGCCAGATTTGGGTACCCTATCGCGACTCCTAATTTGCTCCACGTCGGGCTGAAATTCCTCTTTTGGAGACTGTCGGAGGATGTCCGAGCCCGGTGCTGTCAAAGGATTTGAACAACCCTTCACAATCACCAAAATACGCAATTGAACAAAAAAACGTCCGTTACGGGTAAAACCCAATAATGGACAAAAAAAAATTAACCGTACAGTTTTCCAGGTATATAGTGTGGTTTACCTTCCTGAAAACAAACATCATTCGATACGGTGTTCCGCAGCATGTCTATGAGGTGGTGACCCAAACCCTTGTGTTTGTGGGTTTTTACAATCCCATCCAACAAGATACAAAAATTTCATCACCAGAAACTCACTTACTCACCCAGTAGCGTAGCTATCCTTTTTGTCCATGAATTGAATACCTGTCTTTGTTGGTTGAATCGAAACATGTTCCAGCATTATCCAACATGGTAATGACTACCAGTTTGCGACATAGAAAATCACCATAGAAATAGTGGATTTTCCCATGAAACATGGTGTTTTTCCATAGTTATGTAAACGTTTACCAGAGGGTATCCAACATGTTCCATCATTGTTTTCCAGTTGTTTCCAGCAATCGCCTTTTGCTTCGTATAAAATCTCAAGATATCTCAAGGCACTCATGGCAGCGTGGAGCTTGGCTGCAGCCCTGGGAAGAGGTCTTTCACCATCAATGGGATATTCATCAGCAACAGATACGTCACGATCAGTTATATTGGTGAAAGATATATCCCCATCAATACTGTTTAAGGATATATCCCCATTCTATACCATCAATATTTATTTCACCATCAATATATGTACATATATATATATAGATAGATAGATGGATAGATAGATATGACATATCTCAACCAAGGGGGATATTCAACATGTATGGTTGAGACATTTCATATATATACATATGCATAGACATCACAATCAATATATATATATATATACATATATATATACATATATATATATATACATATATATATATACATACATATACATACATACATATATATATATACACATACATATATACCATGATATTAGCACATCAACAAACAACATCATATGTCACCATGACTATTATGGGAACTTAAGAGAAGTGGGGACTCAGGCACCAACAATGTCATGAGATTTCATGAGCTTTCATGGAAATATGAAATAGGCATACAATCGGAATATCATGTCATATACAAGAACCAACAATCAGCCATAATGGCTGAGCAATATATTTATAAATTATGATTTATGGTCATCAACAATAGGAATCCTGACCAAAACGGTATTGAAACAGCACGAGGATTTCCTGCCGGTTTCTGGAAACTCCCAACGCCTCGATAAGCGTCATCAAACGCGGCACGTTTTTGAAAATCCACAAACTAAATGGAGGTTCTACTGGGACAAATAAGGAAAAATCAATTATGCAATGGGAAAAAATTGGAAAAAATCAACTAAACGATTCATAAATCATGGATTTTCAAGCCCATCGTGTTTGATTATTAGAGGGTAAGCCCTCTGTCATACCCCAGGTACAACCGATCAATCTTCACTGGATGATCCTTTAATGATTACCCTCTGGTAAACTAACATAGCTATTGAAAATGGCCATTTATAGTGAGTTTTCCCATTAAAAATGGTGATGTTCCATAGCTATGTTAAATTACCAGAGGGTAACATACGGTGGATGGTTCTGAAATCCGAATCAGCAGTTGAAAACGGTGGTGCTCTGGGATAATCTGACCAAAATCCAATGGACATCAATCGGGGGCCCATCCTGCATGTTATATATATATACATGTATATACATAGTCACGCAGTATATGATGGGTTAGATTAGAAGTTATAATGGGATATAAGAAGACAATGCCAGAATCACATTGGATATCACATAAATATTATATATATATACATATATATATATATATATATCATAATATCCAGATTGATTCTGGCAATACAAATATATATATATATATATTCATATAATTTCATATTATATATGTAAAGATCCAAAGGAATACTTTATAAAAATATTACCCTCTGGTTATTTAACAGTTCGCCAAGGAAAGATCCACCCATTTATAAGTTCGATAAACCATCTATTTCTATGGGCCATTTCCCAACGTTTTTGGAGAAACCACAAAACTTCCCCCCCTCGCATCGAAGCTTGATGATATCCATAGACCGTCCCAGCTGGACAACAGGATGATATTTACCATCCATTTATATCGTTGATGTCAATTTGAATGTTGGAATTCCCAATCTTCCATTTTTTCGATCTAGCTCAAAACATGTAGCTGGCTCAATTTCATCAGGGGTATGTTTTGACAGTCACCTTGGGCTTTTTCAGAGGTACCATATCTAGTACTAAAGTAATCAGTGGGGATTGAACCTGGCAATTTAATGCAATTTAACAGATTGGGAAGTTTCTGCGAGCTCGCTCAACTGCAACGAGCTGGCTCAGCACCATCGAGCTCGCTCAATGCCACGTAGCTGGCTCAGGGGCATCGAGCTAGCTCAATGGCATCGAGCTGGCTCAATTTTTTTAGCGAAAAAAAAAAACTCGCAGAAATTGAGCCAGCTACGTCACGTTGAGCTGGCGGACGAATGTGAGAGCATCAAAACGAATACTAGCTATGTATTGGCCGGGTTCATGACGCATTGGCGAGCCGGCTCAAGGGCATGTAGCCGGCTCAATTTCTGCGAGGTTTTTTTTTTTTTCTGTTTTTTTTTTTCGCTAAAAAAATTGAGCCAGCTACGTGGCGCTGAGCCAGCTACGAGGCGCTGAGCCAGCTACGTGGCATTGAGCCAGCTACGTGGCACTGAGCCAGCTACGTGGCACTGAGCCAGCAAGGTAGCTTTGAGCTTTGAGCTAGCAAGGAGGCAGTGAGCCAGCAAGGTAGCTTTGAGCTTCATCATATATATATATATACACCTATGCAATCCCAACCATGTAATATACTAGATCTAGGGAAAAGCAATTTTTTTGAGGGAGACACGTACCTTTGAGCTGGAGCGGGAATGTGAAATCTAACATTGTATCAATCTCGGGGATGCGCTTGATGGCATTGGCGATAAACCCCATGTATAATACATAATTTATGAAAAAATCAACAAACAATATACAATTATATCTATACATAGTTATACATATACATATATATATATATACACGTTTATATATAGAGTACATATATATATATATATATATGTTTATATATATATATATAGAGTAGTGTAAATCTGATACATACAGTACGTATACGATCATATACGTATATATATATATATACACTTTAGATCTCCAGCGCCCTGTGATGGCCAGGGCGCTCAGGATCGCCCCGCAGTAGCGCCACCATGTAGAGCGCGCGGCGCCCGGGGAGCGCCAAGATGGCGCTGAAGTTCACGCTGTGGGCGTCTTCTCCTGCGGCAGATGGGAATTTTCCATGGGATCCCTGAGATGATTTCATAGGATTAATAGGGGATTTCTCCAGAGTTTTGGATACTTTGGATTTCTGGACAAGCCCCCTGAGAAATCTTCAATCTTCAATCCACTGGGGCTTGGCGTTCAGAATTTTCAAGTCTGACAAGCCGATCCCCTACCGGATTCTGCGGTGGAAGACCTCACAAGTAGTCTGACATGAAACAGCACGCCTGCAAGACCGTTACAAAAAAACCTGTGGACAGTATACACGCATCTCAAGACGGAAGAGTTGACACCTGGTGTCTCAAGTATGGGTGAAAATGCCCATCTATTTTAAGCCTTTTCATTGTGGAAGCACACATACACACTTCTCAGAAGTCTTTTCTAGAGGAGCAGCTGTTTGCAAACAAAGAAATGACAGTAATGTTCATGCATCAAACGAAAGCCAAGGTGCTGCACTTGCACAGGTGTGACATGAGCAGATGCATATCTAGGCTGTGGCCTTTGGAAATCTCGTTGAGTAGTGGCGTTTTGAACATTAGCACCATCCTTCTGTCGTGTTCACAGCAGCAACATCTTGATCTGAACTCTAGTCTTGGAATCGTGGCAAATGTAGTGTCCGGCAGCGTAAAATACCTTTCATTGATGTGTAATAGCTGCACCAAAACTTCGCATCCCACCGTGGCACATACCATTTGATCAATGAAGATGCAGAAACTGCAATTTAGACAATTGCTGCTGAAAAACATCTTGTCTCATTGTCCAGGGCCCATCTGGTCAATCACAAGGGAAAACTGTAACTTAGACACTCGTTGCTCAATACTTTCTTGTCACACTGCCCACAATCTCTTTGGTCATCTGCCAGTTGACTCTCAATGTTTCCAAACAATGTAAAAGCATAGATTGAACACCTGTGTGGAGGCATTGCTGGGGGGGGTAGCATGTATATATATATATATGCAAAATATAAACTTTAAACTATATACTATATAATTATCATAATAGTTATTAAGTATTACCTTTACTAATATCTAATACAAATTGCCTATAATGTCCTATAATGGTGTATGTACACTTACACACAATATTATATTGTACGAGATATATAGTAGATAAGATCTATTCAATTCTATATACTGATACTGTATGTATATCATGAAACATAATACACATGTTACATACGTACGCAAGTGCGTACACACAGTACGTCACATCGCATCACATCACATTACATTGCATTGCATGGCACGACACGAAACGACACGCATGACATGACATGACATGACATGACATGACATGACATCACATGACATGACATGACATGACATTACAACACGTTGCGTTACATCACATTGCATACATTTGCATACATGCATTCATTGTCGTACACATTGCATATCTATGTATGATATTCAATGTTCTGGTACGTGTAGTGTAAGACAACAAAGTAATTATTGTTTTATGTTATATCTTATATCTTATGTTTATGTGTCGGATATATGCATGTAAACATGCATAAACTATACCACATGTATGATGTATACATATATGAATATATATATATATATATAGGAGAGTATAAATCAACCATTATGTATAGTGTTGCATACGACATAGTGTACGTATACGAAATAGTGTAAATGAAATCATGTATGTATATATATATATAGTAATTGTTCTTTTAAATTGCACTGTGTTATACGACACCATATCGCATCAGGTACTCCTTTACATTGTAAAAACATGAAATCAAATCACATTGTATCACACAACTGTTATATCATCAGTATATATCTGTTTTTTCTCACCAACTGTGGTGTTAACCCACATCCAAAGTGACGTGACACATCGCTCCGTGAGCCGGTCCTCGCTGGGTCAAGAAAATCTCATCCACGTGGATCAGGGGAACAAAATCTTCGGGTTTGCGGCCATCGCCATCCTGGGCTTCGACACATCATGGACTGTCTCGGTGTTTTTTGTCCAGCAAGCCACGGTTGATGTCATGTTGCAACAACATATATTTGTATATATAAATACATATCATGATATATATATATATATATCATATATATCATATATATATATATATTATGCGTCGGGTTCAAGTGTCACAGTTTCAAGTCAACATATTTCAAGCCAATCTTTGAATTCACGATACTTGAAACAAACGTATCTTTTTTTCCCGTTTTCTCCACGTTGGGAACAACCATATACTTGGGTTTCTTATGGACGCAGAAACCCATGGGCTTCACAAGATCAATGACCCTTAACGATCCTTAACACCCGTTGCTTGATGGTTGTTTATGTTTTTACCAGCGGGTTCTTTGGGGATCACAATCATCCACTCCTACTCCCACTCTCAACGACTTACTAACTGTACACTGGGGAAAAGCTCTAACCCCTGAAAACTGTCCACAGTCTGCCAAGTGCCTTGACTACCCCATCCATTTTAAACATATTTCATTTGATTGTATATATATTACATACATACATATATATATATATATTACATATATATATATATTACATATATATATATTACATATATATATATATTACATATATATATATATTACATATATATATATATATATATTACATATATATATATATTACATATATATATATATATTACATATATATATATATATTACACATATATATATATATGTTCAGTACGGTGCATACTTAATTTTTACATACATCGCAAACTCATCTTCAATTCCCCTATCATTTCACCTTCCAACACACCAACAGCAACACTTTTCGGCGTCTTGCCGCGGCTCGGACTCGTAGAAGTTGGTCTTTTTCTCGGTGTACACGGGATATCGGCCCGAGCTCAACGCTAAGCCCGCCTGGTTTCATCGCGAAACGGTGAAACGAAGGTCAACTCTGGTTTGGGGGTCCCAAGTGGCCCAGATTTCCCGGGGGGTTCTGCTACCCTCTGGTTATTTGTAACATAGCCATGGGCCATGGTATAGATGGCCCATTTATGGATGATTTTCCCACTAAAACCTCCATTTATGGTTGGGATTTTCCATGGCTATGTTAAATAACCAGATGGTAAGATGATCCACATTGCATTTTTGTGAAATGGAGAGTGCAGATTTTACTCTTTGGGCCTGGGCCAAAATAAGCCAAAATCAGCTAAAATAAGTGCATGGGACCTGGGAAATGAAGCCCAGTCGCAACTGAACCAGAAAATGTTAGGAAAAAACATAGGGCATTTGACACATATGGAGGTTTCCTAAAATAGGGATACCCCTCCATCATCCATTCTCATAGATCGGATTTTCCACTATAAGCCATCCATCCCCATATGAATGATATCACCTACAATCTGTTCAAATGAGAACATGCCACCAACCTGAAAACATCCATGGTGATGATGTGCCCCAAACTTATATTAGGCTATGGATCAGGATTTGCGTCCTCACCAAATATGATATCATAGGTCTTAACCCACCCTCACATCATTGCCAAACTGGTTCTATATCGCCATTTTTGGCAAAATATGAAAGTACAACACGATCCATCCAGTTTGCTGACCCAGTTTATATTAAAATCACATTGGCTATTTTAAATACAGTATGTATATATATATATATATATGGGTGTTGATCAAAATAAGGGTATCTGGTGCAGCTTCAACCATCGATCAACCGCGAACCAATCTCCGAATTCATCGACATTATTAGAAATTTGAATTGAGCTAGCTTCTTAGACTTTGAACTTTGTTCTGATTATTATTTTCTGTCGGTCCGAAAACAACATATCATGCCATATTATCATATTGATTTCTCCTCTTACAATAGTTGATTCTCGTACAACAAATCTTTGTCTCAATCACGAACCAATCGCCGATGAATCGCGATGCAGGGTTTTCAATCGTGGGTGTTGAAAAATACATGCCCTTTCATAATTATTAGTCTTAGACTTGCATTTACGATCGGCTGCCATATGTGTAGATATATATATATATATAATATATATATATACATACATATATGTATATTTACATGTATATATATATATAGTAAGATTATATAATATTATGCATATTCCATGGATGGTTTAATCATGTTGAACCCCAATTTATCATGGTCAAAAACCCCTCCTATTCATAGTCTCATGGTCCATCGGTTGGCCCCAATAATACCTTGACCATCCCCATTGGAATCCGCAAAAAAAACTGCATTATGACATGGTTTGTTGGTGTCACAGTGTTATCCTCTAAAATTTCTCATAGCTACGGAAAATGACCCATTTTTGGTTGATTTACCTATTCAAAGTGATGATTTTCAATGGTTATGTTAGTTTACCAGAGGGTACGTGTTATTTTACCTTACTGTTGTTGTTTGAATCCACATGTTTATTGGTCAACTCATGTTCATTGGTCAAATCCTCTTGAAGTTTTTTTTTGGCTGAAATCCATGTGTTTCTGGTTTCCGTGGCAATTTGTTCGTCTTATGCCCATTTAACATGTAAATTACAACAAAAAGCGGTTTCGATGATACAAACCACTTGGAATTCATCCCAATTTCAGGCAACCCCCATATGTTTTTGTGGGTCTTCAACTGCTAAAACTCCAAACGACGTTCCCGGCCTTCAGAGCAGCCTTCAAAGTGCTGGTGTCAGGGCGAGGCTTTCCCAGCTCGGCATCTGGGTATTTGGCCTCAACACTTCACGACTGGGACGTCAGCCAGGGATGGATTCCCCCAAGCCTGAACTTTGCACGGACGTACAACGGGTCCTTCTGATATATCTAAACATTCATATCCCAATATATATATATATACTATATATATATAATTATAATACTATATACATAAGTTTATATATATATATACACTATATATAAAATATTATATAGTTATTTATATATATACTATATATGATTATATATATATGATTATATAAATATGATTATATAAATATGATGATATATATATATGATTACATATATGATTATATATATATATGATTATATATATATATATGATTATATAAATATGATTATATATATGATTATATATATATGATTATATAAATATGATTATATATATATGATTATATATATGATTATATATATGATTATATATATATGATGATATATATATATGATTATATATATATTATTTGTATATATACAATTATATATGTATATAATTATATTATATGTATATTATATATATATTCTATATATATATATATAATTATATTATGTATATATATATATGTATTCTATATTATATATAATATATATATATACTATATCTATATATACACTATAATATATATATAGTAGATATATATATATATATCCCCATTAATATTCCATTATATCCAATTATATCCACTCCCAGATTGTCCACAAGACTTGACTTCCAACCGCCGGAGAATGATATCGATCCATGCACTTTCCACCAGGATCCACCAGGAGGGGACCAATCATTGAAATGTTTTAGTTTTAGCATCAAAGAGGAAATGATTACCATTTATCTAATAATGTTTAAATACCAAATCAAAAAATATGAGTAGCTAAATGTTTTTTACTATCTCATATTATTTGATTTATCTAAATTCTGTCCTCTAAAAAAAAACAAGAATTATTACCAACAATTACCAACAATTTGTTACTACTCATAGGTATCTAAAATGATTTGGTATCTAAACTTTCGACTTCTTATTCGAAAAAAGGCTTTGGAAGAAGTGGATACCCTAGGGTAAACTAAGAGTTCGATGTGAAAAACCACGATGTGTAGCTCATTTTCCTATAGAAATCATGGGTGTGACCCACATCTTTTTCTATGTTTACAGGGGAAAACGTTTACAAAGGCCAGCCAAGGCGCCGTAAAATCCATGTAAACGTCCACAGAGCAAAAGACCGGGCCGGCCATGTCGTAGATGCTGCCCAGAACGGGTTTGGACTGCCAGTCCTCCACCAATTTTCACGAAAACTCAGCCTCTGAACATTGGATCCATTTGATGAAATTGTTGGGTGAACATGATGATGAACAATGATGTACATCGTTCTTTGTTCCACAAAAATAAGTGCAAAAGGGCAACACATGTGTCCGAAGATATCCTAAGATGTGTATCGTAACATATGCAATTCCTTATCCTCATCCTTTGATTTTGTATAAACATGTCCAATAAATCATCCTTTGAGTTTTCTCGAATGTACACCAAGTTTCTAGGCGCACATCGACGGTCACAAATTATGATCATGTGACAGGGGAATATATATATATATATATATGTATGTATGTATGTATATAATATACCCATAGGATCAATGTATGGTATATATGCTAACATTGGGGGTATATTGATGGTAAATGTTGCCATATATAGCATACATGGATCCTATGGGATAATATATATATATATACATATACAGTATATAATATTTAGAATATGTTAGAATCAGACTAACCAAACTTTCCATGACTATGCTGCTATGCTCGATGTATCGTAAAAATATTTGAATGATCTCAAGGGGGGTGATGGTCAATTTGGTCAATTCTCCAGCATCTGGGTGTTTCACGAATGGCTGCCCAAGATTCGTTTTAGGATTTTAGGGTCCACGTTCAGCCCCAAGAGTGGATGGTACAGTGGATCTTTTCAATGTACCCTCTGGTTATGACTAACATAGCCATGGAAAATCCCAACCATAAATGGAGGTTTTAATGGGAAAATCATCTATAAATGGGCCATTTTCCATGGCTTTGTTAAATAACCAGAGGGTAGATTGTCTACATCTTCATATGTGTCCATTCAGAATATAGGTACGGTACCAAAAAATCGAAGACTTTCCCAGGTGCGCCATTCAACATACCCCGTTTTCCCATCTCAATGAAATACGTTTGCCCAGTAAATGAGGTAGTATAAGTCCCGTCTGTTCGTCACAAATCAGGGTACCATCTGGTTATTTGTTACATAGCCATGGAAAATATCACCATTTTCAATAGGTAAACCCAGGTAAACCCAGGTAAACCATCTATTTCTATGGGCCATTTTCATCCATTTTCCATGGAACATGGCCCATTTATAGATGGTTTACCTATTAAAAATTGTGATTTTCCATTAAACATGGTGATTTACCTATTAAAAATGGTGATATTTTCCATGGCTATCATAGCCAGAGGGGATCAGGTCACTTGGCTCAGGATCTCCTGCAGGTCGCAAGTCTTGGTCAAAGTATTGAAGAGGAAGCTATCTGAGCACAGGCAAAAGGGCATCGGGAAAGCGATTGGGGTAGATGTTGGGGAGATATGTTCAGGATATATTGAGGATATATGTTATATATGATTATGTATGTATATATATATATACATAGATATAGAATGATATAGATTCAAGAGCTTTTTTCATTGAGTTAAGTGATGTTATTGAGATATCAAAAAATAGGCCCTAGAGCGGGCCTTTGACCATTACTTGTATGGTACTCGTGAAGATTACCATGATCATAGCAACCAATCTGCCATCATTTTCCCATGATTTTCCTGTCGTTTTCCGATGGTGTTCCTATATATGTTCCATGTTTTGTGGGTGATGACCATCCGTTTCCGTTTCAAAACCCCAGTGATTCTGTCTATTTTCTGCTTGAACCACCACCAACCCCCCCACCCACCTCCCCACACACCCCATAATCCTTCCCAAACCCCTCCCATTAGATGTTTTCCAGGGTTGCCAGGAAAAACATGGAAGGCACATGATTATTTGGTAAAAACAAGAGAAAAACATAAGAATCACGGAAAAAAACATGTTGCTTTCCTATGCTTCCTTTGCAAATAAGATGCTTTCTTTCAGATGTGGGACCCTGCCTCCTGTGAGACCCTGCCTTCCCCTCCGTGAGACCTTGCCATCTGTGAAACCATGCTGCACCCAGACTTCTGCAAGATGCTTTTTTTGGCGAGAAATTGCTATGACGCCCTGCCTTCTCTGATGCCTTCCCTTCTGGCCTGTTTACGACCTTTATTTGAATTTGTTTGCCCAGTGAGTGAGGCCTTGTCATGCGAGACCCTGTTAGATCTGTGAGACCCTGCAATCTGTCATGTGCGAGACCCCTCCTTCTTTCGTGTGTGACACCCTGCCTTCTGTCATATGCGAGACCCTCTTCTGCCATATGTGAGACCCTACCTTTTGTCACATGTCCGCCCTTGCTTTCTCTCACATGTGAAGTTTTGCCTTCTGTCCTATGTGCGACCCTGCCTTCTATGAGACCCAGCCTTCTTTCACATGTTGGGCCTTGCCTTCAGTCAGGCCCTGCAGTCTGTGAGAGCCTGCGTTTCTGTGAGGCCTTCCCTCCTGTGCCTTCTGTGAGACCTTGCCTTTGTTCATAATGTTAGACCCTCTGTGAGACCTTGCATTCTGTGAGGCCCTGCCTTCTGTGAGGACCTGCCTCTGTGAGAGCTAGGCCTTCATCCAACATGTGAGACCTTGCGTCTGTGTGACTATGCCTTTGTTTCAGATGTAAAAACGTGCCTTATGTGAGTCCCTGCTATGAGTGACACACCTTGCTTTCTGTGAGGCTTTGCCCTCTGTGAGACTTCGCCTTCCGTGAGACCTTGGCTTCTGTGAGGCCTTGCCTTCTGTGAGACTCTGCCTTTGTTTAATTAATGGTCTCTGTCTTCTGTGAAGCCCTGCCTTTCTGTGAGACCCTCTGTGAGATCTTGCCCTTCTGCGAGGCCCTGGCTTCTGGGAGGCCTTGCTTTCTGTGAGACTCTGGCTTCTGTGAAGCTTTGCCCTCTGTGAGACCCTTCCTTCTCTGAGACCTTGCTTTCTGTGAGACCTTGCATTCTGTGAGGCCCTGCCTTCTGTGAGGCCCTGCCTTCTGTGAGGCCCGGCCTTCTGTGAGAGTTAAGCCTCAATTCAACATGTGACACCTTATGTTCTGTGAAACCATGCCTTTGTTTCAGATGTGAAACCATGCCTTGTGTGAGTCCCTGCTATGAGTGACACACCTTGCTTTCTGTGAGACCTTGCCCTCTAAGACATGCCTTCTGTGAGACTCTGGCTTCTGTGAGGCCTTGCCTCCCTGGCTTCTGTGAGGCTTTGCCTTTTGTGAGACCCTTCCTTCTGTGAGACCTTGACTTGGCTTATAGTCTGAGACGTCCGGTAGGCAGGAGGCAGGAAATTTAGTGTTACTACTGCCCTAAAATGTGTCCGATTTGGTGTGTTTTTAGCATGTTCGTCGGGGAGGCTATTTTCGCAGGTTTTGGACAAGCAGGGGTAGTAGGCAGAAGTGTACCTCAGAAGGGTGCGAAACATATTGTGGCTTCTGCTTACTGCACCTCCTTTCCATTGAGGATATAATGAGCATATACATAGACATGTGCATATATACAAATAGATAGGTAGATAGGTAGATATAGAGACATCGCCTCAGTTCGCGGCTCCATTTGCTGAATAGCACTGGCACTAACACTAGCACCAGCACTAGCACTGTCTATACTGTCTATCCTTAATGTATGCATGTACGCTGCCTGTCCGCACGGGGACCCATACAACCCCGCAAATTAGGAGCAAATAGTAATGTAGTTCCATCATGGGGTAGAGAAGGACCAAGAAGAGGGGAAAAAGAAAGCAAACCCGCCCCCCCCACCATCTGCTTACTGCAGTATTATGTGTTTCATGACCTTGGGGTATTGGATACTAGGTGCAAGAAAAATCAAGACCGCCACTCCTACCAGTTGGCAGAGGGTGCATCTCCCACCGATACTATTCATAGCTAAGGATGGCCTGTAGGCAGGGATCCGCGCTGATGATCTAGTAATATCTAGTAAGAATTGTACCCCCATGCCCATCTAGTTGGCAAGTACACTTAAGTACCCCCGTGATAGCAAATTCTGAGGTATATGTAATTTGTTTATATACATAATGGTGGGAACCCCGGCCCCAGTAGGCAGATTCAGCTACATACAACATACAAACAAAGGCACCCCAGTGGGCAGAAGTGTACCTCAGAATTTGCTATCATGGGGGTACTTAAGTGTACCTAATCTGCTTACTAGATCATCAGCGCGCATCCCTGCCTACCAGCTGTCCTTAACTATATTCTATGATACCCTGCTGCCTTCTGTGAGACCCTGGCGAGACCCTGTCTTCTGTGAAGCCCTGCCTTTCTGTGAGACCCTGCCTTCCTTGATGTGTGAAACCCTGCCATCTGTTCTTATCGAAAAATGTGCAGCATGTCTATAGATTGAATCTTGCTCCTATCGAAGACCAAATATAAAATCCTAAGCTTCAGTTATGGAAGAGTGCCCAGGGCCGGAAAGTGAGCAAGAGCAGCTCGCGTGTGGGAGCAGTAGAGGAGAGCAACAGTTCGGGAGCGTGTGATTTCACGGGTGAAAACACCTTCAGGTGCGGAATCCTTTATTTCCCTGTCTATTGTGTGAGACCCTGCATTGCGCCATATGTGATACGCATGCTTGTAGCCAAACTAGGCTTGGCACCCCCCTGCCTTCTGTGAGCCTGGCTTTGTTCAATGGGCGAGACTGTGTCTTCTGTGAAGCCTTTCTGCGAGACCTTCTGTGAGACTTGGCAGGCGTTGCCTTCTGTGAGGCCCTTCCTTCTCTGAGACCCTGCCTTTGTTCATAATGTTGGGCCCTCTGTGAGACCTTGCTTTCTTTGAGGCCTTGCCTTCTGTGAGGCCCTGCCTTCTGTGATGCCCTGCCTTCTGTGGGAGTTAGGCCTCAGTTCAACATGTGACACCTTGTGTTCTGTGAAACCATGCCTTGTGTGAGTCCCTGCTATGAGTGACACACCTTGCTGTCTGTGAGGCCATGCCCTCTGTGAGACCTTGCCTTCTGTGAGACCCTGGCTTCTGTGAGGCCCTGCCTTCTGTGAGACCCTGGCTTCTGTGAGGCTTTGCCTTCTGTGAGACTCTTCCTTCTGTGAGAAACCCTGACTTTGTTTATTTATGTTTTATTTTATGATGCCCTGCCTTCTGTGAGACCCTGCCTTTGTTTAGTGGGCGAGACCCTGTCTTCTGTGAAGCCTTGCCTTTATGTGAGATTCTGCCTTCCTTGATGTGTGAGACCCTGCCATCTGCTCTTATTTATTTGAAGATGTTTGATGGGCGAGACCCTGCCCTACCTTGCCCTCTGTGAGACCCTGCCATTTGAAGCCCATTCATTTGAAGATGTTTTGACCTTCAAGAAACAGGAGACCACTGCTGTCCTGATTCTCCTTTGAGAATCACATGTAATGGATCTGCCCACAGGCTTTGTACGAACCTGAGCCCTTGACATTGCAAACTCGTGCTGGATACCATCCAAGCGCATTGACTGAGAAATTTGAGCCACAGTTCTCGCAAACTGTCAAATTCTCAAATTGTCATGTTTTTATGTCCCTTGTCATGTTGTCATATTTTCTTCATTATCTTCCATGATTTTCCCTAATTTCCCATGTTTTCTCATATTTTTACAGGTGGTTTTCTCACCCCATTTGGGTCTCACCCCCCAAACTTTTCAGTAGATTTTTTTTCACCCATCATACTGAATTCTGTGGGACATAAGTAACCCGTTTTCCGCCAGATTTTCCCCATGAATGCAACAAAAAGCTGGGTCCAAAGCTTGAGGAATCGTGGATGGATTACCCAGAGTTTATCCCATATACTATATTGACACTGTGGATGGTTGCGAAATCCTGCACCACCAAAAGGATGGTTTTTCAACATGTTGAAACCCAAACAAAATGTTGAGGGATTTTTCCAAGTATTTTTCCCATCGATCAATGGGTGATTCGGATTTCGCCTCCGCCAGGCAGAGCAGCTATGTGCAGACCTCTTTGGACTGTCAGGCGGAGTGCCAAAATGTGACCTGGTGTCGTCCCTCGGATCGTGGCGTTTTTTGGGCTGGAAAAAGCCATGGAAAAACGTGGAAAAATCCCGGTGGAAAAAACCATGAAACAGATGTGGAAGCCCCATGAAAAGCCATGGTTTCTCTGGGAAAATCCATCATGAAGGGGTGGGTGTTCCAAATCTATGTGAGTTTGCAGGAGGGTATTTTGATGGCTGGGTGATGATTTTTGAAGTGACTTTTCAAAGATGGAACGATTGAGGGAATTCAAAGGGATGGACAGACACGGAAAGGTTTTAAGGATTTACCACTCCAGTAAACGAACGTAGCTATCAAAAATCTGGTATCTATAGATTCTGCACCTCTCATACATGGTTATTTTATGTTATTTTCCATAGTTCTGTTTGTTTGCCAGAGGGTAAGTGATGTCGTGGTGG